ATGCAAATCAATTCAAGAGATCGTTGTAGAGAATTAACATGGCATATTGGAGCTGATTTTTTTTTAAATCAAAGCAAAAGATTTGCCTCATTTATTAATACAGAGTTACTGCTCAAAAAAGAGCACAGCGACATCAAACATACAAAAGGAAAGGCTTCTAACTCTCGTGGCAGATAAAATTACCCAATTATTTTGCTAGATGACCCAAATCTTAGCCTCCTCGATAAGCTTTAGGATGTACTCCCTCCGTTCCTAAATGTAAGTCTTTGTAGAGATTCCACTGGATAGACTACATACGGAGCAAAATGAATGAATCCACCCTTAAAATGCATCTATATACATCCGTATGTAGTTTATAGTGGAATCTCTACAAAGACTTATATTTAGGAACGGAGGGAGCAGCATGGTAAAGTTTGATTTCTTTTGGAAGACATGAGCGTTTCGCTCATTCCAGAGCGTCCAGCAGACAAGCATGGTTAGGGAGGCCATCGTCTTTCGGTTTGCAATGTTGAGGGTTGTCATGCTTGTCCGCCAAGATTTGATGTTTCTCTCACCTGCCCACACAGATAAATTCAGGGGAGTCCAAACCAAGTCAATCCTTGGGTCATTCTTCACACCAATCATGGTGAAGCGACACCCGGAAAAAAAGATGCATGGCCGTCTCATTGGCCCTCTTGCAGATGCGCAAAGTCCAGAATTTTGTCATCCTCTCCTAGCTAGGCGATCGACGGTCCAAATCCTATTCTGAATGGCTAACCAAGCAAAGATAAAATAAAAAATTGACCTTCGGAGGGGCTCAAGTCTTCCGGACGGTCTTGTTCATTGAAGCGAGGGTGACGCCATGGAATTGAGCCTTGTATGCAGACTTGGTCGAGTAGATACTTCTTGCCGCAAACTTCCAAGAAATGTCATCCTCCAGAACATCGTTAAGCTAAACATGCGAGAGGATGCTCCAAAGCTCTGGGTACTCAAGAAGATGATCCATGAGAAAAAAAATCCTCGGTCAACTTGATTTGTTTAATCCACACATTCCTAGCAAGGGCCTGGCGAACAATCCACTTCTTTCTCTTTCAGGCCATATGGACAAGGGGGCAATGTCATTTGGCCTCTTCCCATCCAGCCATGGCGCATCCCAAAAAGGCGTCTTAGCCCCATTGCCTATGGTGATGCAGGTGTAGACATGGAAAAACTCCATGCCCACGACGTCACAAGGGACTGCCCATGCCAATCAACAACTTGGTTGGGTTGTTCTGCTCAATCCATGGCCAGCACAACGACAAGGCCCTAGCAAATTTCTCAAGATGGAGAACACCAAGGCCGTCAAGGTAGGTGGGGTGGCACCCAATTTCCCAATTCTCCTTGCATTTCGTGCTCAAGGTCTTGTCCGCCGCCAACCAAAGGAAAGCCCACTCCACCTTCTTATGTTGTTGAGAACTCTAGGAATGACGACTAGAGGGGTGACATGATATAGTGTCTGCGAGGTGAGGACATACTTGACCAAAGTAGTTCGACCAATCATAGTGATATTCCTCCCCTGCCATGGAAGGAGCTTTGCCACATTTTTATCCTCAAGCGGATGGAAGTCCATTCTCTTGAGAAGAGTGGTAGGCCAAGATGTTTGACTGGGAAAGAAGCTCGTATGGCTGATAAGTTTTGCAGGATGTCGTCAAGGTTGAGGTTGTTGCAACAAATAGAAACCATAGAGCTCTCTTGAAAGTTGGTGGAAAGACAGGTCACCTCACCAAAAGAGCCCAAAATGGTCGCCAGATTATGGACGTCCTGCTTGATGAGGGCAACAAAGATAGCGGCGTCCTCGACATAAAGCGAGGTGCAAAAGGTGGCCCCTCTTCCACCCGTCTTGTGCGGAACGTTGTGCTTAGTAGCAACATTCAGGGTTTGCTGTAGGGGGTCGATGGCGATAACGAATAACAACATCGACATGGG